TTTGGTACACCTTACGTTTTGTGCGTGTCATCCTTTGCGGACGTGCAGAATCAATTGGATATGATTGGACCTAGTGCAATGTTCCAAGGTTGCAACACATGCACTGATGGTGCCGGTGAAAGAGGCGACATCCTGCATGGGGCAAAAAAGAGGTATGAACTGTTGAATGTGCCGCTGCCTCGTGAGATGAATCTGATAAACAATAAACAAATGCCTCTGTCAGATGTCTGCTGCCTGTCTATGCCCTCTTAGGAAATGGATGGTGTCACAGTAAGGCACCTCCGCTGAGCTCATTGTGAGGCTACCGGCCACTGCAGTCGCCAAGTCTGATGCAAAATGGTCTTGGCAGCTGGGGGTTACATGGTGAAGCTGGAGATGGTAGGAGGGCTACGTGCTTTTGGGGTCAGTCTGTGGTGGTGATGACTGGTTGGGTTGACATTGGATTTAACAAATTTAACACTGAGTACTGATTATATAATATATATAATATATGTATACATCTGTTTACGGTCAAGGGTCAAGGGGGTAGTTGTGATACAGTTGTTTGTTGACGCGGAAGTTCTGGAGCCGAAAGTGTCGGCCACGGCCGGGCACGGACTGCGACGGCGCCAAGAAAAGGAATCTATTGTGTTTTTAGAAAAAGAAAACACAAGCACAAAAAAGGCACGAATGGTCGGCACCTGGTCGGCATGGCCGTCGGCATGGTTAGTGCTCGGGGTGCAAGGTGAATGGCCTGTCACCGCGCAAAATGTGTGTATGCACGGCGCATTACCCTCAGCCTGGGGCTTCTCTCGGCTGCTGCGAGGCTTTTACCTTGACAAAGCAATGATCCGAACATTCTGAGTGATGCTAGATTTGGTTGTCCAGCGTGCTTGTTGCAGAATACCATGTAAGCAATGACGTCTAAAATGTGAGATAAAAATCCAGCTGTGCTGTGAGGTCATAATATGATATGACTCATTGATTTTGGACACACTAGAGTTGACAAGTGTTCACGACAATGCGTTTGAATCCTTTCAAGTAAGGTTCGTGTAAAATTACTACATGGTTTTTTCTTTGCCATGTGGGCCACCACAGTGCCTGCAGCACTTCTTTGGCCGGTTCGGCGCCAGACCTGCTGTTCAGAGCGGAGAGTAGTGAGGTGGATCAAAAGAATCCTTTAACGACTATAATATATATATATATACATTTCTCATATAAGTCTATACTATGTAATAACTATGGTGACTATAGTATACTATGTGACTATGGACCTTTGGTTGACATAAAACACAAAACATGGTTGCGCGCAATTATCTGGCGGGGCTCGCTGCTTCATGCGTTTCTGCACCAGGGTTGCTTGGTTCGGGCATTGCCGTGTGCCTGAATGGCTGAAAGAAACTTATGGTTCACACAATTTTTGCTATATAAATGGCCAAACTTTGCCGTGACTTTGTAAACATCCCTGTCCTGAGGGATGCGTGTTTAATTTAACGCCACACCCAACTGCAGTCTTCTGACAAAACTGGGTTGATTTTTCCTTTGACCATGGTTGTCCACAAAATCTCAGTTCCTGTCGGCCACTTCTTCCTCCTCCTCCTCCTCTTCTTCTTCTTCTTTTCCGCAACCATACCCTCCTTTGACTTTTTGCTCCAGTCAAGTTTTAGCGCAGGGCGCTGGTGTGGCCAATGACTAGCAACTGCAGTTATTCGAGGAAATTACCCTGCCCCTTGTAGACTCGCAAGATCGAAATACTCATCATAGAGTACCTCTTCCAATACTTGTTTCATGGACAAACGCAGCCACTTCTTCCTGGGTTCTGACAGCTGTATTAGGCTGGAAAACAAAATTTTGACGAAGGGACTTTTCAGGATGTATTAAAATCCTATGACCAAGTAGGCCCACATTTTTGGAATGGTAGAAATGGCTAGATAGTTCCATCTTCCTGTCGTCGCCCTGACTGGGGTACGTAGCAGCTGTGCACTCTTGCAACACCACTCTGATTGAATATTGCCTATCAATTCAGGTCGGTGGTATGTTTGAAGATTCTCCTCAACATCGTGATTTTAAGGCAACGATTCTTCTTCAGCATGGCTGTGAGCTGTCAAAGCCATACCACAACTTACCAGTGCACGACAGCATCAAAGAGTAAAAACATTCAACTGCCACAGTGCGGCCAAAATCATCCAAAATCTGTACTAAGTTGTCTTCATGTCTTGGGAACTTCTTGGACTTTGCTCAATACTTCATGCTGTATGTTGGTTTCTCAGTTGATGTCGCTTCATACAAAAGTTGTCTCAGCCTTGTTGAGGAGCGGTTCGTCGTCAGCAAAATGGACCAATCGATCATTGTTCACTTGAAAACCCCACGAACATTTCGCTGCTGAGCATCAATCCAAATTTCCTTGAAACTGCTTCGGTTATCTTAAGAAATTCATGTAACGCCCGGTCCGGTTGTTGGAGAAGAGACTGGTGAGCAATAAGCGGTGTCGAAATCAAGGATTCCACACATGACATCAGGAGGCAACTGTCTAAGTGAAAAAAAAATCGAAAGGGACTGGACATCTACCGGACCTTACCGCGTTCGCGTGAATATATAAAACCAGACCCAGAGGTCTACATTCTAACAGAGACCAATCCGCCAATATAGGTATAGGCCACGTAAGCAGGAGGAGCCCGAGAACCCGCTTCAGCCGAGCTCGTTCTCTTCTCTGTGGAAGTGGCACGAGGTCAGACAGGGCATTTCTGCCTGAGGAACCCCTCAGCCAAGTAGACAACATCAGCCCGCTGCTGACAAACGTATGCCCCCCCCACCTGGTTTTGGCAGGGTGCGGTGGGTGGGAACCACAACCAACCAGCTTCTGGTCACAGAATCAAATGCTGGGGCAGCACCTCCCTGCACCCAGCAACTTCCTCCGCAGAACCCCTCAAATGCTCCCTCTCTAAACCGGAACTCAGGGGAAAGCCCAACATGCCCAACTAGAAACATCCAAAGGAGGGGGAAACCCTTCCCAAGCAAACCCCCCGCACTTGAACGTTGAGAGATCCCCTTACTTGCCGAAGGCAATTCTCACTGCAGTACCAGCAAATAGAACTCCAGCCCATGCAATGCGTAATCTCAGCCCTAAGCCACTGATCTAGATTCATCCAGGGTCTGCCTTGATCAGGCAACCGTAGATGTATTACACACGATCGGGACAAGAGTGCTATGGACTGTGGGGGTCAAGATGACAAAAAAATACCGCGACTAATCGCACGCTTTTACCTATCCACCCCACAACCCCCCCAACATACGTAATCATGCATAATGTCTCCATGGATGTGCATTTTTGCAAAGACCTGCAAAAAAAACATACACAAGGCTCACACAACACATGAACTTCCTTGCATCTGAAAGGCTGTTTGTCTAATCCTTCAGGTTCCGCGAAACTCGTTGACATTGCGACATTCTGTTAAAACGACTCCGGATTTGCCTGGGTGTTTGTGCACTGACGGAATTCGCCGAGCGCTGTGGTGAAACCCTTGGCAAATGCAAGCAAATGGCAAAATGCACCAGTAAAAATGGCGGGCTCAGTATTCTCACTCGTATGAAGAACTGTGATGATCAAAGCAAGTTGATAATATGCACCAATGCATACAAACACTGTCTCAGCACATCTGATCTGAGGGAAAATAAGGTTGCAGCTGGCCATTCGCAGCCCTGCCATGTGACAAGCACAGTGTCACAAGCAAACCTTTCCTTTTCAGCAAACCGTGTTCAAAAAAGAACACCTCTCTCTTCTTGCTTCTCTGTATTTTCTTTCCTCTTCTTTCCCTCAACCGTTTCTTACAGCTTCCAGCAGGCTTATCCTAAGAGGCTGCCTACAAGACCCTGCGCTCTGCGTTTTTGCAGCGTGCTTGCTGCTTGGCTGGCTCAATAGTGCTGACTAGACTTCACTACCTACCTACGAGTGGCCTGCCCCAAAGTGAGAAAGGAAGACTGTAGTCCCTGCGAAGAGCTTGGATGACCATTGAGATATTCCTCTGGCAAGCATGAAGCAAGCACATGCAAGCACCAAATACAAACACACGTGTCGCACAAAATGGAACCACGGAACCGGACGCTGTGGACGGAACCGGACGCACTGTCCTCATTTCCTTCCAAACCATCAATAGCACCTCCATGTTGCTTGTCAGCTCGTGACAGAAGGGAAACGGAATTTGCTTCGTTTGGGATTGACTGTCACGAATAATTCAGACCATGCTTTATTGAAGTATTGAAACAAGACCATACAAAAGGTGCCCACATGCACGATTTGCCAATATAGCTACAAACCGTGAGTAGACACTGCAAAGCACCAAAGTTGTGGATAATTTATGATAATTTGAAAACCACTAAGCACTCAACCTGCTTCAGAACCAGGGTCCTGCAACAATTGACATTGACATTGCAGCTTGGAGTATGCTCAAGGCTGTGCGAAAACAGAATCCTCAACTATATATATATAATTGGGTCAAGCAGCGGTAGTTACTGAAGCCTTGCTCCATGAAGTTTCTCGGACACGGCTCAACATTCTGTAAGCAGGAAAATGTCTCAAACGATACGCAATATTCGAGCGATACGCTGCAAACATGTGATGCCTCTCGAACGGGTACTGAAGTGGCATGAGCTTATGTGTCCATGCTTAACCAATGCCGAACACCTTGAGACCTTTGGGCATTGACAATTTGAGAGCTTGCGGTTTGTTGTTTCCCATCCTCACTAGCAGCTGCCAGCGGATACAGCCTCAGGATATCTCAGGATGCAATGTGTGACACCACAGCTCAGATCCAGCTGTGGCCAAACAAACCCACCTATCGTCTATCGTTACCAAAAATTAACAAGTGCCGTTTTGCCACAGAATACCGCAAATTACTTGTTTTTGCTCATAGCCTCTGGCAAGCTGAGTCTCCAGGCTGAAGCAAGCCAGGGAAGCGACAAAGTGTCTGGAGAGACACAGTGGCCCCCGAAATATCCAAAGATGCCAGAATGCTTGCGTGCAAACTATTGAAACAGAATCAACAAACAAATGCAAACAGCAACATGTGTCCGACGACCTGTTTTCTGTTTGTTTATAGTAGTTGCATTTCTGCTTCGAATACCTCTCGCCAGGAGAAACCAGGATAGCCACGAACCTCACAAGGCTCAGCCGGGCAAACCAACAGCCAACAATCCAGTCAGCTTTGGGGTGATTCTGGTACACGTGAAGTGTCGCAACCCCGTGCCTCACCATCCACCTCATGAAGAACAAAGAGTGGGACAATGACTGTGAACATGCTTCAATTGTATCAAGAGTGCAAAGAATATACTTTCCTTGCTAAAACGCATCACATTTGCTGCTCTTGGTCTTGGAAGAACTTGATTTGTGCTACAATCTCCCATGCACTAAGTCATCCACTTGCGGGTCTCCTTCAGACTCCTGCAGGGTGTGGCTTGACATGGCTTGACATGTTGATGTCAATTTGTCTCAATTCAATTCGGAAAGCCAGATCTATTCGCATAAAGTGCCAGTACACCTGTGACTAAACAACCAATATCTTTTGTACAAAGGAATAAACTCTTCATCATCAATATTTGCTGCCATGTGCCCCTGCAAAATTGATACTTCAAATACTTCTCTTTTAACAATGCCCCTCTACATCTGTCAGCCGCAAACTCATACATGGACTTTGTCCACAACACATGTCAAAACATGCACCCAAAACAAGAACACACCGGAAAACTCAGGCACCACGGCCCCCCGCTCTCTAAACGCCTTCAGCTTTGCAAAAGAATAAAAACTCTGTGCAGAAAACACATGTGCTTTAAGTTAAGCCTTCATCTTTGAACGTCGTCTGGGTCTGGATGGGCATCTTTAATTTGATGTTCCTGTACTCTCAGCCAGGAGCCCTTGAGACTATGTTAAGCCTTGAAGCTTTGTCTAAATACCTGTCGGAATTCCTACCTATACTGTGATTCTGCCCACAGTCAACTGAAAATGAAACAATGAACCATGTAAGAAGAGTGTAAACTCTTGTTTGACTCGCCGCAGAAGCAGCTCAAGCTACTGTAGAAACCATGGCAAAGAGGAGGAGGAGGAAATCAAGGTGACAGGATCCGTGTGAAGAAGGCAAAGAAGCTCAAGGATTACCACCACCTGCCCCCTCCTCCACCACCCCGTCCCCAGCCGCATCCCCGACTACCAACACATGCCGCATGTGAGACAATTTGTCGGGTTGCATTGTTAGTTGAATCTTCAGTTCCCTGTTACCATAGTGAATACTAATGTGCTGCAAACCCAATTGTTCCTATGAAAAGATACCTGCCTGCCTTCAAGGAAAATCTGCTTTCAAAATACATTCATTTCGAGAATGTTTTATTTTGAAGAATCTACTGCTCTAAATAAAAGACATGTGTGGTGTCACAGATTTACTCCTTATGTGAATGTTTTAAGTGAAGCCTCCAGCTTTGCAAAAGTATTATTTTTGCACAAGAAGTTCTTTTAGTAAAGCCTTCATCGTTGCAAAAGTCTTTTTTGATTGCAGAAGACTAAAGTTTTGGTACAGGGACCAATTTGCAAGTAAAGGCAAATGCACACACGAGTTGTTTCCAAGAAGAAACACGTGTTTTCCTTGAAGGAAAAGAGGTTTCAAAATGTCCAATACAATTGCAAAGGAACTGATGTCTTTCAAGAACCACGTAGCTTTGATCACGCGTATTTCAAACATGTTTTGTGCTTGTCCCCGAAAAGCGCTCTTTTCTCAATGCGTTTAATTCCATAAATAAGGAACGGTATGCGGGCAGGAAGGTATTGTGCTTAAACACAGCTGTGATCAGCTGTGCAATTCTACTGAAAAGCAATATGTGTTGCACAGTTTCAAAGGACTCCTACAGTAACAGCGATCGCCTCCAACCTGCTAGGGATGGCCTCATAACCTATATAATAGCCATGGCCTCCAACCTAGAAACTTTATGCAGCACCGGATCTGGGAAGAGTCAAACCTGGGAACATGGCATCTGCTGTTTGTTTTCATGTCTGATGGTGAGAGCAAATGGCAGGAAGCAAAGGTCTGATCTGATCCACAAAAACAAAAAATATCAACAACACTCAAAAACATGGACCCACGGACAGGTCCTGAGCAGAAGCTAGACAGAAGTCGTGGGATGACAAGTGTTTTTTGCGGTTGTTTTGTTCGATTTTGTCGTTTGGCTTCCTCAAATATTTTTGCAGCTGAAAATGCTATGGCTATAGGTGTAGCTTTGTTGCCTTTATTGAAACACTGGAAATCTTAGGCCCCATGACCCCCCGCTTCTGTATTTGTACGGGGTGTCCAGGCACTCAGCCCAATTGAGCAATACAGGATCACTGCACGTTGACCAAAGCATTTATGCACGAAAGTAATTCTGGATTCACCCTTCATGTCAGCCCCCAGATTCACCAACCTCGTCAAGGAGGTTTGGCCGTGCTCCCAATTCAGGTGCCTTGGGCAAACTCTCGGACAATTAAGCGAGCCCAACACGTCTTGGTATCTTAGAGGTTACTTCAACTTGTAAAGTGGGTCGCCAAATAGCTTGGCCTGGTTTGTCTCAAAGTAGCACCAGGAGTTCTTTCTTGCAGCCAATTTCTTCAGAAAGTGAAAATGATATATGCCATCGGCTTGGGCATGGAATGGCATGGAGCAACAGTCTGCAAGTCGCTGAAAGTGTCAAAACAGCAACCGGAACGGCTAAGTCCACTGCTGAGACTCCGAGTCGCCAACCTGCCATACGGCTTTAAACAAATATACAATGTATAGCTGATATCTCGATACATAAGTAGTATATATGCATTATACGGTTATATCATAGTACAGTATATGCTTTTTTGGCGTTTATCTGTGTTGTCTTTAGACCCTTTTACCACAAGTGTTTGCCTCTGGGCTTTGGCTTTTAAACCTTTGACAATGCTGATGATGAATGGGGACCGGTCTGGGGGACCTGCCTGCTGCCTCCTCCATGGGCGCTCGCACCCGCACTGGGCACTCCCTGCCGAATCAGGATGTGCCATGGAAAACCCCAGTGAAGGTACTCAGCTGCATGAGCACCCGCTTGGTATCCAGCTTGCAGACAGAAGCTTTTTGATCTGTTCACAAAGATCAAATTAGGACACATATGCTTGGCGTCACTGTACCGGCAAGCTGCCCTGGAACATTCAGCTGGCTGTTCGCCCAAGAATCTGGTTCAGCAACTCAGGCAAAGTTACTCCATGAAAAGGTCAGAAACAGTTTAAATATTTTTAAATACTTCATGTATACACTAGTGTATACCTCTTTAAACTTTCTAGTAAAAAATGGCCGGATCACTGGGGCAACCCGTAACAGGTAACAGCCTACTCGTCAAAAATGTTTTGCCAACTCGGCAAACGGGCAAGCACAAGCAGCTGCCATTCCATTTGCAAAAACAACAACAGGAAGCTCCTTGTCAGCTACAGAGTCATACAGAGTCTCTTTAGCACAATTCTGCCCACGCTTTACTTTTCAAGGGAGGCTGCGACTCTTGCAGCCAAAAGACGATGAGTGTTCCCCCCAAAGCAGCATTGGCTCATTTGGGAAGTAAGCATACGGGCTCGGTGCAGGTTTTGCTTCCACATCACCTCCAATGACAATGAGGAGCAAGTAGTTTAGTCAGTTGCAGTCTCTGCACATTCCTGTTTATATGTACGCATGGCAGTTGTGGATGTACCTATGTATATATAAATGTATAATCATATATATACATAACGTAATTGTACGTACAGGTGTCATATATATATATACATAACGTAATTGTACGTACAGGTGTCATTGTGTGTGTGCAAATGTACGTGCATGTATCAGGATGACATTTATGGCATACGAATCGTAAAGTTTACTTCATTCATCATACAAACAACACCCCTGCATTTCCAATGATGTATATAATCTACACACGTGCCTATCATTAAGCCACAAATGTTGCTCCGGAAATGTCGCTGGCCACTCGTGCTTTGCAGCCTGATGCGGCTTCACGTCCGGATGTGTAAGAGCCTGCCCCTCCAGCCACTTCTAAAAGTGGCAGATCAAGCAGAGTCCTACTCATCCGAAAATTGACATGCCAAAAAAGTTCTGACAAATGGCTTGGCCATTGGGAGGCACTTCTGTTCCTGCTGTATCTAGAATCCCTAAGTTTGGTTGGTTTGATCATGTTTGATTTGGCCACTGCCTGTAGAACAGAATGAAACAGAAGTGCAAAAAATCCTAAATGATGCAGGAGCTGTGCGGGAGGACGCCCGTCTCCAAGGCACACGGATTATGCAGGCAAATCAGTGGCGAAGCTCCTCTGATTTAACTCCTGGACAAACCTAGGCATGACTGGCACACTGGACTTCACCCAGTTCACTGTGTCCATGGCTCTTAGCACTCTACGCACTTTGTCGCTGTTCTTTCCATTCAGTTGTCCCAACATGAGCAAGGGCTCCCTCTCGCTACGCGCTATTTCTGTGCCTGAAGTAAACATTACAGTAGCTACCCTTTGGGGCACTCCACCCTTGACAAATCCATGTACATAAACCTACATGGAGATGCCTCAAAAATAGAATCCCAAATCCTGAACGGCATCGCTATGTTTCAATGTGTTTCAGTCTCGCCCGCTCTCTTGCCATCCCAGTTGCTCCAAGGCATATGCAATGATAGGCAAACATGCCTTATGGCACAGATTCTGAAGGAAATCAGGACGAGCTTTGGCCAAGGCACTGGGTTCTTTTTTGCGATCGCTTGTCTGCAAATATCCTGGGCAAGAAGCATGACTGATTGCAGTATCTTGGAGTCCAAAACGAAAGCTTGGATGGCCGTGACAGCTAGCGCCCAGGAAGCTCTTGCCACAGATTTATGAGGTGTTGCAAGCTCAGATACAAAAGTTTGGAAAGTGAGCTGAGCCAGAAGCATGCTGAAACCATCACAGTACACACGACATAGTGCTTGTGCAATTGGTTGACATGGGTTTTATGCTTTTATTTCGCATGCTTCGAATACCCTCGAACCCACACGAACCTTGCAGTCATCTGTTTTCATCACATATTTTCAGTGTGTTTGTGCAGTTTCCGAGTGAATTGTACATGAAAAATCTCGTCGCAAGTGCCGCCAGTGCCTGGAAGCTTGTGGCATCAAGCATCGCCATTTTGACGTCGCTGGCCGCCACAAGACTTCCTCAAGACTTCGCCGCTCACCGTCAAAAAAGGAAATGCACTGATTGATACTGAAAGCACATCAATGTGTCTTGGTCTCGTATTCTCGTTTATTGTTGTTTAGTGTCGCAATGTGACGCATGAAATCCAAGCGTCCGCGATGCTTCCACCGTGTCCACAGGACAGGTTCCGCTATCCAGCATTTATCTCCGACCTTCTCCACCTGACTCAAACACGAGAAATGTGCTAGATGTGACATTAATTAGCAGCCTGTAACGAGCCTCACCATAGGAGTCGGTATAATCCAAAGACCCGGATGCCACCAAGTACCTTGTTCTGAGACCAAGTGACAAATGACTGCTTGTTTGCAAGAAAAGTGTCCATCCATCATTGTCCATCTGCGGGTGAACACGGAAGGGGAACATGGGCCCTGCAGCACCATGTTCTTCAACAAACTGGGCTAGTTCTACTTCCCTGTTGGGATAACGGAGGGTTTTTTTCCCAAATCCTGGCCTAAAAGACCATCCGGTGCCTCAAGAGCAGCTCAAGCTGCCGGAACTGAGGGCCGAACCGGCCCGCCAAAAGCATAGGGATGTCTCCCATGCTTGAGTGCCAGCTGGCACCATCGTTTATCTAAAATCTGAAAACGACACTCTTCAGTTTCGTCCTGCGGAGAAAGGGATCCAGATAAATACGCATCCCTACATTGCCGGGAGCCATGCCGCAAGTGCTGAACAACGCGGCCACGAAAATGAAAATCACACCCGCAAACAGGACACAACGACCCATGAACATAAAACCAGATGGGGCTCCGCTTACAATGCTTCTTCCGCATGTGCGCAGCCAGGCCGGCAGGGCTTGCGCACACAAAATTGCACTCGGCGCATGCAATGCCAAACTGTGGTCGTTTAACCAACCGATCCAAACAAACAAACGGACAGCAATTAGGGGACCACACATTCAAGACCTCCTGAAACCACAGGGGCCATCTCGCAACAAACCGGCCCCACTCCTCCCATTCAACGTAAAAAAGTATAACGGAGGGTATGCAACAAAGTGTGTTAAGACTTCAATCACTTGATAGCATGAATTTTGCTTGTTGTTCAAGTATGTTCTAGTGACGTCCGTGATTCCAAACTACTTCACTCACAAGCATGTTAGCGCTGCTCATCCAAGGCACATCTTGGGCTCTGAAGGCTCCTCATCCACCTCGAAAACGACGTCGCTGTGCGTTAGGAGGAGGATGCTCATGGCCTGCAGCATGTGTTGAATCTCGACCAAGACCAAAACATGCTGCCCAAACAGTTTGACAAAGGTCGGGTCAAGAAGGGCAATAAGTGGTTTGAGGCAAATGTGTATCCTCTTGAACAAATCTTCAGACAAAAGCTTTGGTATCCATCAATGTGTCAAGGAGCCTGGTGGCATACACGCCGCACAAGCTGGTTCCCTTCCGTGAGCAAGTCCTTGAAAAAGGGCTGGTGCAGCAAAATTCCTGAGTCCAAATGATCCAAATGCACGGTTTCATAAGTAAAGCAGAAATCAACGGGTGGCGATAGGGTTGCAAAAATGTCAAATACATCTGCCCAACAAGAGATGTAGACAGACATGCAAATGTAAACATGTGCTCAACTGTTCAATCACTCAAGTTTCCAGGACAAGTCTTCTATACACTGGAGGATCCGTTGCCTTCAAATTGCCCAGTCGAAGATCATAGGTCTGATATTGCATGTTTGTACTTGCAAAAGGCACTTTGGAACACAACACGTGTCGAAACATTTCAACTCTTCCCGTTCCCTTCCAGGATGCGGGAGTACATCTCGAAATGCATTTGCATTTTCAAAGGTTCTGAGATCACCTCAAATGATGGGAGTTTCTGTGTTTCTTCCCTGAGAACTGCTGAAAGAGGTGGTCGTTTTCTTGATAAGCGCAGTGCTGATGGGACATGAGCTTTATCATTCTTGCACGCAGTGTCTGGAAAGTACTTCCTGGTCTTTGTTCAAGCAGGTGTAATTGTAGCTCAAGCTGTATCACAAGCAAATGTGTAGCGTCACAAACTCTCCAACAATATCGTTTGGCAGGAATGTAAAAATCGTACTGCTAAATTCAACTTGGAAGGTTGTAGTTTGTTTTATGTATCTGTGCCTTGCAATTACTGGCCCTGTGATGCCCTGGAGGGTTCCTTTAACATGTTTAATATGGCCACGAAATGCTGTGAAGGTACTGCCAAAAGCTGAACCGAGTCGGGAGTAAGGTCACCGGAAATGGCATGCTTGGCACTGCGGCACAAACGCTTTGTGAGATTCTTGGGGATGTGGTTCTGGCGCCTTAGACGATTCTGAAAGAGATTCTGTTGCAAGCTGTGTTCGGCTAGACCAGCCAGGAGCCGCCAAAGCCTTTGAATTGCCAAGTGCCGAAACGGAAAAACACGAAATGAGCAAGCTAAGCTAAGCTGCAAATAGGTCTTGAGCGCTGCCATCTGACGCTGTCCGCTACCGTCCTTGCAACTTCGCATCCATCCAACACATTAAACTGTGCAAATACTTACATACAGTACTGTGTTGAGATAATGCGTATTGAAATCTTTAGATATATACAAACAGTCGTGTGAATCTTGTTCAAACCAAACAACTAAACAACATACTGTAATATATATGTAAATCTGGAAATAATTGCAAATTGGAGTCGATGATGTGCCGCTGGGTCAGCCCTGAAGTTAGAGTTCCCAGCATCACCAGCACACACACGAAGCTGCAAACGCCTGCTGCAACCTCGAATAGTCAAATTCTGTCTGCCCAACTAATCTTAGAGACTATTTCAGGGTGCTCCAAGGTCCATCTGAAAAAAAATTGCCAAAGCATGCCAATGTCATGCCTAGTGACACCATACATCCGCTCAGCCGATGTCTCAGGATATATGTTGCTGTTGCCTCCTGAAAACCTGGTTTCACACATATCGAAAAGCGTTCAAACACAAGAATTAAGAACAATTATTATTGCAATGCTTAAAATTTAGGAACCGTTGGAACCTTCCCGTGAGGTGAGGTGTTCCTCAAAGAGCGCGAGTACTTCTGAATGCTACTAGCTATATACTATATTATATATACCACGCTTACAATGTTGGCGTCCCACTCCTTGTCTTATCCCCTTCTTGCTATGAGCAACCCCCCGACTATACCTCTCCTACCCGCAGTGTTTCCCCAAAAAGGAAGAAAACCAATATATATATATATATGCAATGATTTTGCAATGTATTTCTGCGTCTCCGAGCTCCACACAAAGATATCGCCCACAAGAGGCAAACCAAATAGGATGCATCGACGCTCAAATCTTCATAAGAGCCAGCCTGAGAAAAACAAGCACTGCTTGATGTTGTGTGGAGAAGCCCCAGGAACCTTGGCCTATTGGTCTTTGTCCTGATTGAACTTTTGCGTCGGGACGAAGTTTGAGCAAGACTATCCAGCTTCTGATGCGCCTTCACCCATGTGGTTCCAGTGCCATTGGTCCCAACTGCCCACCAAAAGCAGGCAATGAAGTGGCAAAGCATGACCTGCCGGGGATGGAAAGGGACACTGTGCACAGCCAGCCCGTCCAGGTGGGCTGAAGCAATTGAATGCTAAGGCTGCTGCGAGCACGACAATCATTTTGATGATTTGCGCAAAAATTTCCACAACATCTGATTGGAGGCGTTCCTGCCAAGGGCTACGAGAGAACTGCTGTTAATACAGGTCAAAGACACTTGGAACCCACAAAATGATGCAAATTCCGCCGGGAATCTGTAAGATTGGCCAAGACTTCCTGCATTCGCAGCAGCCGCAGGAGCCTGCACTCGGCGCTAGCCGCTGGACCGCAGTGTGTCGCAGTACAGTTCATGCAGTGTGTCGTGCTAGCTGCTAGCCGAAGGCTTGTCAGTGTGTGACTACATTCTCGTCTCACACAACAAGCTTGACAATTGAGCCAACAGTAAATCGGCAAGTGACAGCATTCGGCACGTGATGTAGCACAAGACCTTTGAACGAAGGTTGCCCCTCCGACAATACGAGTTTTCTGCCTCACGGCTCGGGCCATGCGGATGGCACGCGCCAATTGCCCCAAACCAAGACCACTGCCAGCCACCAGGTATCCTGTCGACAGTCTCGTCGGTGAACAGAGGTCTTATAAAAGCTTAAATCTAAATTAATAGCTTCTTGTTACTACTAGTAAGGCACTTGTTACTACTAGCGTGGCACTTGTAACTATATTCATTAATCATTCCACAAGTCTTGCTATGCTCAGCCCAGCTTCCAATCCAATCTGATAAAACCATACTCAGGTCTGGAAGAAACCTAGACAATGCAAAGAGTTGCGTCCGGCCAATGGTTCTGCTCACAACCAGTGATCTAATCACACATTGACCTACCGGATTAGCAAAAGCAGGGAAACATGTCCACGAATATAGCGCTTACATTTGTAATTGACTTGTCCGGCGGTCGGACCGTGGTCTGAAGGTCTACTCGTCTTTGTATAAAGACAGCTATTGCGGAGCTGAAGTAGAGCTCAAGGTGCCATGTCTTGAAGTAGCGATGTAAGATGTTCCGAGGCTTGTACTCGATAACACCTTGGCTCTGTTTATGCTAGGGCAATACAGTTACGTATCATTATCAGTTGCTCTAATGTTGCAACAACTTGCAAGCACTTGCAACTGGCTCGCTTTCGCTTGCACAGTTCAATTTGGCATTTGACATCGGCTTGATTGAAATGCATTGGCATTAATGGAAAAACTGAAGTGAAAAGAGCACTAGCAACACTCCAATAGACTTAAAACACTGAAAGTTGGGAAATATCAATCCAAGATGCCGTCTGAAAGGACAAAGCCAGTGATACATGACATGCCCATGTCAAGTGTCCAAAAGATGCGGCTAAACCAATCCTTGGAAGTGATCGGATGGTCAAACACATCTTTGCAAAAAAATAGGATAATTTGAACTTTTGAACATGCCAGTTGCTCCAGGAAGGCCAAGAAAGTTGTTTCTTCCAAGATGAAGCAAACCTCCAGCGGGACGAAAATGATGTCGTAGGTGATCATCGCCAAGCTCAGGATCTTAGTACATGTGCTGTGCTGCGCTCGTCTAGCTGGAAGCTGAGTGTCAATTCACGTTCGTCACATTCGTGTCACCAAATCTATCCAGCAAGCTGCATCCCAGTAAACACGCCTTGACGAATCTGGATTTAAAATGTACCTGATCAGGACAGCAGATCGACGGGTTTTGTCTATGGCCACAAGGCTCAGGGGGCCATTCAGCGTGCCACGCAAAACATTTAGTGCGACTCTGTGCAAATCTCATCCACGATCCTTTGACAGCTGAGCCACCATGGCTGGATCTCTGCACCAAAGTCTGGCTCATCTTCCTTGTATGCAGCCTGAGGAGAGAGGACCGAGACTAAACGGCACTTGAGAGAAATAATCAAAGTTGCCGTGCGTCAATGCCGTGCTTCAATTGCCGTGCTCTTGCTCACAGTTGGTAATTGTGCGCTTCATGTGAGAATAGTGTCATCAATACATGCACGTTTCCACGTGTCTCCGTCAAAGTGCCATCGTTCGTCGTTCTTGTGTTTAACATCCTCAAGAACATAAAGCTTCTGTGACGCACCATATAAATACTGTCCTCCCGAAATGCAGCGCTAAGTCGGCATTGATATTTACATTGGTAGGAAAGTTGCGTTTCTTGAATAGAACTGCTTCTAGGTTGGAGGCCATCGCTTCTAGGTTGGAGGCTATCACTTCCAGGTTGGAGGCCGTTGCTAGTAGGTTGGAGGCCATGGCTTCTAGGTTGGAGGCCATCGCTAGTAGGTTGGAGGCCATCGCTTC